TGCTTAAGGAGGCCAGATCTATGGGTTAGAGGAACGGATCTGACCTCAAGAGGTCATTTGAGTGTGAGCATGGCTTGAACTCGCCGAGTCCAAGAACAGACTCGGCGAGTAGGATGGGTTTTCCCCATAAATCACACAGATGGTAACTCACTGAGTTGGAGAAGTGACTCAGTGAGTCATTGGGATTTTGAGGTCGTGAGTTCATGGCTAAACTCGCTGAGTCACAATAGTGCACTCGGCGAGTCTGGTCAAAGGGTTGACCATTGACTTTTGTTGACTTTTAGGGATTGGTTAACTTTAGAGTATTTGAGCCTTAAGAGGGGTAAAATGGTCTTTTACCCTCTTGAGAGTGCAAAGAGAGGGAATGGTCTAGCCTTGGGAAATGTGTTGATGCCAAGTGTTTATTTGTATGATTAGGTGGATGCTAGATCCTATTTCATGGAGTCTGAGATTTCCGAGTTATCGAGTTACACGAGGTGAGTCTTCTCACTATACATTACCTAGAGTGGTATTATGCTTTGACCGGAAGGTCTTATATGATATGTATGAGATTGTGTTCCATATATGCGATTATGTGCTATGTGTTGGATGTATGATATATAATTGTATAGACCGGACCGGAGTGTCCAACGAGACAGATGGGGCCGGAGGGCCCAAAGAGCTATGACCAGACCAGAGGGTCCAACGAGCTACGAGACCGGAAGGTCCCGCTGAGACACATCGACTGGAGGGTCGTACAGTAGCCTCGAGTGGCGTATGTGTTGTATGTGGTATTTTGGGGGACTCACTAAGCATTTATGCTTACAGTTGTTGTGTTATGTGTTTCAGGTACTAGCGAGGACCGTGGAAAGGCGCTGGCGTGACCCGTACACACAAGAAGGGATTTGATTTTTGTGATCTTGGGATATGTTATGATTTGATAACTAAGGTTGAATACTTTTGAGAATATTTTTATATGAATTTGGTTGTTGAAAAATGAAAATTTTGTTTTGAAAATCTCGTCGTTACAAGTTGGGTCAACATGAATTGTTGACTCGAGTGTTGAATTTCGTTGACTTTTAGGGTTTAGTCATGTTATGGATTATGGAGACTGTGACATCCCCATTTTCACGGCTAGAAAAGACCGATTTTGTTTATGCTTTATAAAAATCAGAGTATCTCTTTTAATAAAAACGTTGCGGAATTTGTTCCCAGTAAAACATGATAAATACGTTATCAAAACATTTCCGAGGAAAAATATTTTTATTGATTTTAAAACATTTGGGAGTCATCATCAATACGAAAACATAAGCATAAACAGAACTTGCATTCATATCGCTAGTGATTTACATCTCCTTAATCTCTCAGTGTAATGTGACATCATAACAACACCTGTGATATAAATAAACTCAGTGGGTCAGGTTGGGAAACCTGGTGAGTACTTAGGGTTTTCAACCCACAATAATATAATTATTATGTTTAAATAATCAAACAATCAACCCAAATACCCACCCCCATTATCTTCCTTACTCTTAAGAGTCTACCCTAAGAGTCATTTATCCTGCATTCGTTCATTCTGAAGTCCTTCGCTTCCAGGGTTATAGGACTGACACTAAATTCATAGCTGCCAATGCTCGTTCGTAAAGCACTAATTCCATAGCTGCTGGGTACTAAATCCATAGCTACCAGTGTTTATCTAATAGGTACTAAGTCCATAGCTACCAATTCCTAACATGTACTAACTCCATAGCTACCAATGTTTGTCCAATAGGCACTAAGTCCATAGCTGCCGATGTTATTTATTAGGCACTAAGTCTATAGTTGCGAATGTTTACTCACATCATCTTTTATCTCTCATCATTCATCTACCCATGTTATACCCAACATATTTGTATATATAAAATATGTATACGATTTAAATCATTTAAAACATGTATAAAAACGTTCATCAAGCATAAACAACAAATATTCAGATAATATGCACACATAGCACGTAGTTTATATAAAATACTTCATATCTATGTGTAAGATGAAAGTAACTATGCACTCACCTGAGAAGGTGGTGACTCGGTACTTGGACAACGCTTCGTTTACTTTAAAATAATTTCTTTCGACGAAACTTACAAGGGGATTTTAACTAGGAGTCGGGCTCTGCAAGGGCAGAACTTCGTCGCTGAATCTTTCTAAGAAAGACTTGTGCAGCGCTTCAACGCTCACCTTACTATACTAAAAACTACAGAAAGAGAAGTCGAATCACGAGGGACCGAAATGCTCGGGGGATAAGGAGAGAAAGACTCTTGAATCAAGAGAATGGTGTCAGAAATATGAGATCCCAAGACTCTTATTTATACTAATTGAATTTTCAAAAACTATCCTCCATAATTACTTAATGACCTTTTAGTTCTATAAACAACTAAACACCCCTCTACAATTCTATTTTAAATGGATTTAATGATATTTGTACTAAACTAATGTCGAAAGTACTCAACATTAGTCTTATAATGACCGCATCGTCGATACCTTTCTAATGATATATACATATGTATATATATGTGTACGTATATATGATTTATACTTTATTTTAATACGTAAATATGCTATTATAATTTGTAACTTGTTCATAAGAACTCCATTTTTGATGTTATTTATATCCACACGTAGGTGGAGACATACTCTACAACTTTCGTTTGGACTCCGTCGGCTAATTTTGACTTTATTTTTAAAGTTATATTTTTAACAGACCGGGACAGGATTGGTCCATTAAAATCTCATAACCTCTTCATCCGATGTCCATTTTCGTCTGTCTTTTTATCGTTACGCTACTAATAAAGAGATCTTCGATTCTCGTTTAGGTTGTGTCGGCTAAAAACCGCTTGATCTAATACTCGAACTTCGGGTTGTATACCGCTAAGCCGAAACTTCGAAAAATCATAACTTCCTCATACGAAGTCAGATTTAGGTGTTCTTTTTATGGAAACTCGCAGGTTAACATATTCTACGACTTTCATTTAGATTACTAAGGCTAACAGTCGCTCTATCATAAATTCATTTTTTTACGTCTCTCGGTGCCGTGCTGGTTTTGTCGTGACACTTCGACGGGCCATAACTTCTTGTTATAACTCGGATTTCAGTGTTCTTTGTATGTACGGAACCCTTGAGACATATTCTACAACTTGTTTAAGATTATTTATTATAAATAATCTTTTGTCGAAAAGTCGTTTTCGACCCCTATTATCTCTAAATTGACTAGCCCGGATCTACGGGTGTTACAGAGACCATGGAGAGGTAAAATGGTCTTTCACCCTTTCCTAGAGTTAGTAAAGGAATAGTTTAACATCCTTGGAGTTGTTATTATAAATTTTTAATTAAAAATGATTATGATATATGCAGGTGGAGTCTAGACCTACCATTGAGTACGAGACATACTTACTTACTTACGAGGTGAGTCTTCTCCCTATACTTACCTGAGTGGTAATACTGTGTGATCGGAGGGTCTTATTTGAGTTATTAACCGGAGGGTCTTATACTATTATGTGCTTATACTGAGTTATGTGATATCATGCATTTTTTTTCTTTGTGATTTGTGTTGTATATTATTTGTGTGCCTTTTTGAGTTAGGACCGGAAGGTCCAAACCGAGTTGTGAGATCGGAGGGTCTTCACTAAGATACCAGACTGGAGGCTCCGACCCGAGCTGTTAGGCCGGAAGGTCTTCACTGAGACACATGACCGGAGGGTCCTTATCGAGATATAGCCATGAGAGGCTAATTATTTGTGAGTGGTGTCTTGGGGAACTCACTAAGCTTTGTGCTTACAATGTTGTGTGAAATGTGTTTCAGGTACCTCTCAGGATCGCGTGAAGGCACCGGCATGATTGTACACACCAACTAGAGATTATGTTTTGAGGATTTTGGGATAGTGTCAAACATTTTATTGTCTTGTGTTTTGAACAACTTATAAAATTGGGTTTGAGAAATGTGAAACTATGTTTTTGTGTGGTTTTAAAATGAAAATTTTGTTTGAAAGTTTAGAGTGTTACAATATCATGGTATATAGATATTGCTATGTTGTAGTGATTTGTTAGATTTGTATGGTTATCTGTTTGTTGGTTTCTGTTGTATATGTCGATATAATGTGGGTGGGTTAAGGTTGCACTGGTTTTTGTTGTTGGCAAACAAACTTGGGAAATCCAATCGGGAGATCATGGGCCAGAGTGGCAATCCAACCGAGAGGTTGTGGGCTAGGGTAATCCAACCGGTAGGTTGTGGACCCAACATGCATATGTATATTGTTTGGTTGTGTGTGGTACTTTGGGGAACTCACTAAGCTTTGACTTATAGTTTAAATGTTATGTTTTAGGTACTTATGATGATCGAGGCATGGCGAAGACTTGATTGTGTACATCCTTCAAATTTTATGAGATTTGATCTTGGGTTACTCTAATTTGTGATTTTGACACTTTGAAAACTATGTTTTGTAAACAATTATGGTTTTGGTTGGTTTTGAAAAATAAAAATTTTATCTGGATTTTTGGGATGTTACACATCTTGATGCATGACATGCAATATGATATACCTAATGTTTCAATAGAAGACATCATTATGGTACTGACACATTGTTATTACAATTGGGCAGTAAATAATGACCATTACTTCAAAGTAACAATGACAAGAGGATACACATCCCTATCATTATACAATAGTAGAATCGTTCAAGTTGTCGTTATACAAATCATGGATTATCTCGTATTAGAATTGAATAAACATGTGCACTTAATTTATTTGTTTTTATTGTATTGTTAAAAATTGTTATGTTTAGATGATTGTTAATGAGTTATCATATATTTTCTAGTATATTTGAAGTGCAACTATGATGAAACATTTTCTACCATTAATCTTGATCAAATCCTTTGTGAAAAACCACTTGGATCTTCACTTAAACTCTTTGTCTTCACCCTTTCAACCGATCACTAGAAAACACAACCAATAGTTCTCCACAACATAACTCTTCGATCAAAATTCCTCACCCTTCTGATACCTTGACTAACTTTCTAAAATGTCTTTTGGACCCATCCCGAGTAAACGAATGACAACCCGCTTTAACTTTACCTTGAAGAACATCCTCATTTAACTCTACTACTAAAGACCCACAACCATGTTGAAAATTCTCATGACTACTTTTCTTGTCTAACTCCTTCATACCAATTTGATCAACATACTTTCCAATATTCGATACCACTTCACAATTGCCATTTTCCACCCGTTTGGAGATACCTTTCACCTTTTCCACCATACCCGAAGAACCATCTTTTGAACCATCTACTTTATCTCGAATCTTGTATCCGACTAAATAACCACCTCTTAGAAGAGGACCAAAACCGGCATCCCTTGACACTACCACCATACCGTCTCTCAACCTTCTTTTCCTTTTACATATACACAATTGCACCTTCACTTGTGAGCATCTTTCTGAAAAAGTGAAAACCACATTTTGTTCCTTTAACAACGCCCACACATTGAACCCAAACTTGACATGCCATAGAACATTCTTTGTAAAACATGTCAATTTACCACTTGAAGAACCACTATCTATGCTGTCAAATAACCAAGGTCGTTGCAACTTTCTTTCACCAAAACGACTCAATTTCATTCCTCCTTTGAACTAGTGACTATTTCTGCAACGCCCTCTTTTGATCAATTAAACATTGTGAAAACCTTGATTGATCCAACACCTAATCGCATACAATTCACCCCTTTCGATTAATCACAAAAAATTGTTACCTAAGAACAAACCAAACTCCACTTTTTTAACATAAAACTCACTAAGGACTTTTATTGAACACCTTATCTGCAATCTTATAAACTCCACCTCAACACAAAAGTTCTTTTTGGAGGGACTATATATTTTCAATTCAAACTCCCAAATAACCACAAATCAATAAAACAAAATGAATTGAAATTACTGAACTTGCCATTTTGTAGTTTGATTATTTCTTTCCCTAGAAAACTCTCCAAGAAACGCACCACTTTATGTGAAATTGAACAACTCTTGTTGCTATGTCTTTGATCAAAAACCGTTGTGAAAACTCACTTGAATATTCACCCAAACCTTTGACTGATCATCGGAAAACACAACTAATAATTCACAAACACATTCCACCATTGGATAAAACTCCTTCCATGATGGTTTAATACCAATTTGTTGTGCAACTATGATAAAATGTTTTCTACCCTTGATCTTGATCGAATCCTTTGTGAAAACCTCCTTGGATCTTCACCCAAACCATTTTGTTGTGCAACTCCAATAAGATGATTTCTATTCTATCATTGATATTGATCGAATCCTTTGTGAGAATGAGATTTCTTATTTCATATGTAGTTGTGTATATGTTCATAGAGTTTTTTAAGTTACAGTTTCCATTATTCTTTTGTGAAATAAAAAATCTCATTTTTGTTTTATCTTTCTTTACAATTATTTTCATAAGTGAGAATATTCATGTCTAAACAACCTGGCAGGAAGTCTTTTAGAAAGGTCATCTATATAGTTATATGTTACTTTTTAAGGAAGTTCATCACGTGATAGTTTTATTTTTATTTTTTTGCTTTTGGAATAAGATATGTTCGAAGCTTGTATACGTTTGTTGCTACAAACATGATTTTTGTGTGGAGATCTCACATTATATATATGCATAAATTTTAGATTATTTATACAAATTTCCAGATGCGTCTTTCTTTTTTTCCAAACATAAAAATGCACTATTTTGTTGTAAAAAAATAAGATTGAAAAGTGACTGCAAACTTTAACGAAATCGAGGGATCTTTTTGTAATTTACTCATTAATTAAACAAAGTCTTGGAGAGAGATCAATCAATCAATATTAAGATTGTCGTGTCCCCCATCTCTCTACGAGAGCCACACAAGAAATCGCTCCCTTCGACTTCGATCTAAACACAGCACAAATCGAAGGCGTCTCTTTCAAAACCCTCCCTCCATCGGATCAATCTACCCTCCTCACACGTCAAATCTGCTTCCTCTTCCTCTTGGTCGTGGTTGTGGTTGTGGTCGATCACCATCAACCAACTTAACTAATCGAAGGACAAGTAAGACTATTGTTTTTCTAATATTCATCGTTTCCTTTCAAATTCAGTAAATCTATATCTGTACGTGATTTGATTGCGTTCTGCGTCTACAGTGGTATCCAGATCCACGTACTTGTATGTTTGTTGGTTATGAAATCTGGCAGTCTTATTGTTATTGATTTCTGAATAATCGATAGATGTGTAGGTTTATTTTTTCCCCTCATTTCATTGGATCAATCGGTAATCGTAAATTGGAATAAAAATACTTGGATCGAATAATCGATGGGAACATTCTCTATCATATGCTTGAATGGAGTTTGATGCGAATTAGACATAATTACAATATGATTCAACGAAAATTTGTTTTCCTCATGCCTATGTCTAATTGTCTATTTAGATCTCATTTTTGTTTCTCATCCGACGTTTTTTAAGTTAGCGCTCTTATAATTTGATCCGCATTATTGGATTTTAAAGTACGGATTGGGCATGGACCTAGAGTCTTGGACTTGCTTGAGTGAGCTATAAGACGGTTTATTTTTGGGAATTTCAGCCTTTTAACTTTTTTTTTTCTTTCCAATTTTTAAAATTCTGTTCTATAGGCTCTTTTATAGCTGAATATGGGGGTTACGAAAAACACTACCAGCATGGAGGAGGCAACACTTGAAATTGGAATGGGTAAGCTTGTGTTACAATCTCAACATGTCTTTTTCCCCTTCTTGAGTTTAATGGAAACTGAAATGCTGTAAGATCTTTAACTTCTATATGTAAGTATCATTGATTGTGCATGATTACTGAACTCACTACTATGCAGAATATAGAACTGTCTCTGGAGTTGCTGGACCACTAGTTATCCTTGATAAAGTGAAGGTTAGTTTCCATTCTTTTCATTTCTTCTTTCTCTCACTCTCTTATTTTGCCCATAGATATTCAAACATTTATACATGTTATACTTATATATCTGTAATTCTGCATACAAACTACTGATAAACATGTGGGCATTCCTCTTTACTTTATTCACAGGGACCAAAGTATCAAGAGATTGTCAATATTCGTTTAGGTGATGGTTCAACCAGACGTGGTCAGGTCTTGGAAGTTGATGGAGAGAAAGCTGTTGTCCAGGTGATCAGTTGTATAATTTATTTTGATTGTATGATAAACAATCTGCTTATCATTTATCCGTATCTATGGTTCTATACTTGTCTGCATTTATGATGAAACAAATATTCATTTAATTGACCAGGTTTTCGAAGGAACATCTGGCATTGACAATAAATTCACAACTGTTCAGTTCACTGGGGAGGTACACACAACATCCATTTTATGTCTTTTTTTATCTTTTTGCCAAATGAAATCTTACTTTCCAAAAATACAATTACAGGTCTTAAAAACTCCTGTTTCAATGGATATGCTTGGGCGCATATTCAATGGCTCTGGGAAGCCAATTGATAATGGCCCTCCCATTTTGCCAGAGGCCTACCTTGATATTTCTGGTAATAGCAACATACTTTGAACCCACATCAAAACAAAACCCAAAAACCATAATTAACTAAACTTTTTGTAATATGTTGTTATTATTATTTCAGGAAGTTCTATCAATCCTAGTGAGAGAACATATCCAGAAGAAATGATCCAGACTGGTATCTCCACAATTGATGTGATGAATTCAATTGCTAGAGGACAAAAGATTCCTTTGTTTTCTGCTGCTGGTCTTCCTCACAATGAGATTGCTGCTCAAATCTGTCGTCAAGCTGGTTTAGTCAAGCGATTGGAAAAGACTGAAAACTTGCTTGAGGTATTATTACAAGAAATAGCAACGTACTTTACTTTAAAAAAAAAAAAATCAATTTAGACAATCAATTTACTTTCCTTTTTTACCCATAGTAGCAATCTACATACATTTCTTTACCCCTAATAGCAAAATGTAAGTATGTTGCTATTATAGGTGAAAAGAAAATAATACTTTGTTGTTTTTTGTGGTTCTCGTTTTTTACTCCAAAGTGAATTTTATGTGATTTTAGCAGTCGGGTGGAGAAGAGGACAACTTTGCCATTGTTTTTGCAGCCATGGGAGTGAACATGGAGACTGCACAGTTTTTCAAACGTGATTTTGAGGAAAATGGCTCCATGGAAAGAGTGACACTTTTTCTAAATCTTGTAAGTGTTTTGATTAAGTTTATTATTATTATTATTAATATCATCAAATGATGCTTATTTTTTGACATTATTTTAATATATACAGGCCAATGACCCTACAATTGAGCGTATCATCACTCCCCGTATCGCTTTGACAACAGCAGAATATTTGGCATATGAATGTGGGAAACATGTTCTTGTTATCTTAACAGATATGAGTTCTTATGCTGATGCTCTTCGTGAGGTAATCAATCTTTTTCATGTTATCTGAAATACAGTATATATTTAAGTATTTATATTATTCAATTTTTATGTGTTTTATCAGGTGTCTGCTGCTAGAGAGGAAGTGCCTGGAAGGAGAGGGTATCCTGGGTATATGTATACTGATCTGGCAACTATCTATGAGCGTGCTGGAAGAATTGAAGGCCGAAAGGGCTCCATCACACAGATTCCAATTTTGACTATGCCCAATGATGGTATGTATCATTTTGTATGATGGAATGGAATCACAAAAGAATGGAATAGGTCATTACATTCCATTATCATGTTTGCTTGCTTTGAGGAAATGGGACAAGTCATTCAATCATGTTGTTTGTTATGTACACATAAAAAAGTAAATGAAATCAAATTGTTAAATAAAGAAAAAGTTATTGTTTTAGAAAAATAAATTTTAATCCAATAAAAATATACCGCTAAGTAAATTACAGGTGAACATATTTTATGTCGTTTGAAATATATATTATATGTATTATAAATAGTCAGAAAAGTTTATCTGTAACTGTAAAAGGATTGCTTACACATATTAAAAGATTAAATAAAATTTAATACCATGAAATCTTTAGTTACTTTTGGAAATAACAAAAAATAATTTAATTGAAGTTTGAACAAAAAAAAAAAAAGAATAAAAATCAGCCATGAGAAGGAATGACATTCCATGATTTCTTCATTCCATCATAGTGCTCCATCCCATTCCCTCTTTGATTACTTAGGGAAGTTACTTGTTATTTTTTTTCTTTTTCCTTTTTCTACTTGGATACTAATTAGTAATTACTCCTTGAATTAATCAGATATTACACATCCCACCCCTGATCTTACGGGTTATATTACTGAAGGACAGATATACATTGACAGGCAGCTCCACAACAGACAGGTTAGATGATCATGGAGTTTTATTTGTGATGCTTGATTGGTTTTCTTTTATTAAACCTAAAACTGATAAATGAAAAGTCTATTGATATGATGATTTAAAAAAAAAATGACAGATTTACCCTCCAATCAATGTGCTTCCATCCCTATCTCGATTGATGAAGGTAAGCCTAAACCTCTTGTTTATCACGACTAAATAAACCATGAGGGCTTTTTTGGTAATTAGAGGTTGTATGAATGATTTACAGAGTGCTATTGGTGAAGGGATGACTCGTAGGGACCATTCTGATGTC